GTATGGTTAGCTGATCATTCAGGAGAGTGGATTCTTATTCATAAAGATTCTCTCCAACTTTTGCATTTTCCTTTTCCTGTTACAGTATCATAATTTCATCTTCCTTTATTCTTCTCATCATCCATTTGCTTTGAATATTTATAAGGTAGATATTGGAGCTCCAGTGAGAATCAACAAAAGAATACATAAAAGAAAAATAACATCCCTAATTCTGCTGTCACATTGCTGGACACAGGCTCCTGGGTATAACACTCACTCTGTGTGATTTTATTTTTGTTGAGTTTATTTCTTTCATATTGTAATGTAAAATTGTTTTTTCTTCATCTTTATATGAAATATAACATATTACAAATAATTCTCCATTTTTTTTTCTTTTGGTCGGTTATGAGGCTTGAACTCTGAGCCTGGGAGTTGTCCCTCAGCTCTTCAGAGCAAGGCTAGTGCTCTACCACTTGAGACACAGCATCACTTATGTTTTTCTGGTGGTTTATTGGAAATAAGAGTCTTAAGGACTTTCCTTCCCAGGCCAGCTTTGAACCATGTTGCTTAGCTCTTGACCTCTTGAGTAGCTAGGATTATAGACATGAGCCAACAGGGCCTATCTTAGTAACAAGGTTCTTAAAAGCATTTTCATTGAAGGGCTGGATATGGTAATTTATGCCTGCAATCCCAGCTAAACTGGAGGCATAGATATTTAAGATTGTGCTTCATAGCTGTCCTGGAAAGCAGTGAGACTCAACCACAAAAACAAGTTGTAGCACGTGGCATACATTTCTGCAGCTATGCAGAAGGTGAAATTAGAAGGATTGTAATAGAAGACCAAGCCAGGTAAAATAACAAGACCTCATCTGAAAGATAAACTAAAGTTAAAACTGATGGTGAAATGACTTAAGTTCTAGAGCCTAATAAGCAGGAAACCCCAAGTTCAAACACCAATAGAACTAAATATATTGCTTTATCATTTACTATATAATATATCATTTACTACTAAGCATATAATATCTTCACTACAAATAATGTATTCAATTTCTTCTAATTCCTATAAATTCAATATTTTTTATTTCAGTTCTAGAACAGGGTCTTGAACTCAAGGCCTCCTGCTCACTCTTGTTTGGATTTTTCTCTCAAGGTTGGTGTTCTACCACTTGAACCACATCTCCACATCTGGATTTTTGCTTATCAATCACAGAAATAAGAGTCACACATTTATCCAAAGATGGTGGATAAATATTAAAATGCACCTTTCCGATGGCTACCATGATAAACTTCCTTTTTCTGCCCCTTACTATGTCTGTATTTGGCATTTGGGAGTGAGGAGCCAGACATAATATGAGGGTCTGCCTTTTAAAATGTTAAAAATCTGGTTTCAGAATGATCTGTGTCCAGCATGGGAGATGTGCCTTTGATTCTGTTAGACTGCAAAACAGGGAGACACATGCCTAGTCCATAGTTTGGATACTTTACATCCAATGATTTGATATTTCAAATTATATGTCAACATTTTACTGTAAATTATCCAGATGGTATTTGCATAGAAGCTTTCTTGTGTATCATTAGTTTTTATTCTCTTTATCTCATAGTTCTTTTTGAGTGTACTACAGTTGGAACTCAGGGACTTCAGATTGCTAGGCCAGCACTCTATCCACTAAGCCACCTTCCCAACTGCTTTTGCTTTAATTCATTGCTCTGATATCATCTGGAATGTATAAAAAATGCTTGAGCTGCCCTGAACTGAGATCTTTCTACCTCTTTGTCCTTTATATCTGAAAGTACAAGGCATGCATCACCAGGCCTGGACTTCTCATATTCTTCTTATTTGTTTTCTTGTCATCTCATGGTAGTGGTCATGATGTGTCCTTGACATGTGCAATGTTAAAAGCATATATCTACATGTGCCTAACCCAAAGTTACTAGCAGTGAATTTTTCTTGAACCTAACATTAAAAAATCTCTGAAGAAAATTTCAGGAACCAAGGTGAAAATCTTATCCAAAAGTTACTGTAGAGAGCCCTAAGTAATAGAGACACTAAAACTATGTAGCCAACTTAACAGTTGCCCATTATGCAGCAATAGTGATGAGCAAAAGATCACAGTGATCTCAGGCTCTCTGCTACTTAGCAGTCTGAAAATCAGGTCTACCTAGAACCCACCTTGTGTTTTTCCTGCTCCTTCAAGTTGTGCTCATTGGATGGCAGGTCTTCAACCATGCATGTCTTGAAGGACAGTGTGATCAGCTCTTTACTTTGGCTTAAGTTCTCTGGCTCTGAATGTCCTTCCTGTCTGTCTTCTAGTTCTCCAATAAAAATTAAACTCTCCTTTTCCATCTGCAAGATGTGTCTCAAGAAAACATTTTCATCTGTGCCACTCTATTCCATGTATGTCTCTGTAGACTCAGGGTAAAATGCACATCCATAGACACAATCCAGCTGCTATCTTGTGAGCCTGAGGTCAAACAATGTGCCCTGGTGGCCCCGCCTCCTTCCATGCTTTGTGGAGAGTGGCGGCTGCTAAGTTCCTTAATGCTCTGCTTCAGCATCCTCATTTGTGTAACTGTTACAGTAGTGTTGAACACTTTGCTGTATCTTTCTCTGGGATTTTACCTTCTTCCATCCATGGACCAATTTTTCCCTTGGCTATTTTCACTCACAGGATCATATATCTCATAATCCTAAGTATTTTCTTCAATGGAAACAAACCCCTGAATTCTTTCATCTCACCACATCTCCACCTCCTCAATTTCCTCCTACATCCACAGTTAGAACATTGCCTATAAATGAGAGATGCCCTATGTTTGTCATTTTTACTTGCTCTTAATTCACCTTTTTGTATACCTTTTCCCTAATACTTAACTCATGATATTTAGTAGTGGAAACTTCAATACCCACCATAGAAACTCTTTCAGAGTGAGTTTTTTTTCCCAAGTTATTCCTTATGATTAGTTGGATATATTTCCAGGTAAAGTTATAATCCATAGGACAATATTTTGTAAAATGGAAGAGTTTCCTATACATTGGTTAAAAAATTTGGTAAGTCTTAAGAAATATACATAAATGACATAACATATAATAACAAAACAATGTGACAATAATACTTGTTAGACAATATATTTGAAATGAACTTTACAACTTGGGCTTGGGGAGTAGTTGGCAGGGTAGACATTGGAGATAATGAGGGAGAGGGTGACACTATTCAAAAAGAAACCTACTTATTACCTTACTTTTGTAACTGTAATCCCTCTACGTATCACCTGTACAAAATTGTGAAAACAATAAAATAGGGAAAATCAGAAAAATCATAGACTAATATCTAATAATACATCATATATAAAAATAACACATAATATATTTTCTATAATTTATATTTAATTATTATGTACTGTATCTTATACATCAGGTATATATACATAAATATGAGCCATAAGTTGCATGCATATGTTCACTTGTCAATCTGAGAAAGAAAGAGCTTCTGAATTATTGAAGATCTGCTTTATCTTGAGTTTTCTTCATTTTTCATTTTATAAATAAAAGACTTCAGTGACTGTCCAAGATTCCCAGATTCTTGAGATTAAAACAGAGAAGATTCAGTGAGCTAGGAACACTGCTGTGATTCTTGGTGGGAATTAGTCTGGAGGACAGAGGGACTAAGCTCAAGAAACATCAAACCTTCAGTGTACCTTGCAGGGGAGAGCACGGGATGGCTAGATACCCAGTGCCAACAGTGTTGTTTGCATTCGGTGTTTCTCTTGATAATTTCAGCTTGATTGCTAAGTGGGACTAGGAGTCAGAAAATAAAAATAAACTAAATTTATCCTTCTTTCACCCTCCCTTTCTCTCCTTCCATTCATCTCCATCTCCTACTTTGCTTCTCTCTCTCTTTCTCTCTTTCTCTCTCTATCATTTTCCTTATTTTTCTCAAGCAATGCATGTGGATCAAGTCGAATATATTCCACAAGTGGAAATTTTTTTAAATTAGATAATTGATCTCTGTGTTCATCATTCTGATTGAGTTAAAGAGAAAAACTATAGGCTGTCTCCATGTATGTGAAAAAATATTTCTAATAGAGTCAACAGCTATCCATGACATATCAGCAGGCCAGGAATAATGGAAAATACCTGTTTTAATAAATAAGAAAACCCTGCAACAAACTTTGTACTCATTAATATAGTTATTTAGCATTTTAACACTCAAGTTTTATTAAAGTATGAAATGTTCACAATTACCTTCTGTACCTAAAATTGTACTGAGGTTCTCCAAATGCAATAAGAAAAGCTAAAACTGATTGGAAAAAAGCACAAAAGACCCAAAGCAGAAAAAGGAAGTGGGAAACTGTCTTTACTTGCTGATGAAATTTATGCATAAAGTATTTAAAAATCTCAAAACTTTTGAAATAACTTCGAAGTGTCTCTGTGCACATTGTTTATACCTATTCAAGATTAAAAGAAACTTGAATAAAGGCAGAGTATTTCCATGTTTATAGTCTGGAATGTCATTTTAATATTTCAACATTCAGCCCAGTGCCAGTATCGCACATCTATAATTACACTTACTCCAAAGATTGAAACATAGAAGCTCGCTGGTCCAGGATATCCTGGGCAGGATTCCTGTCCTATGATTCTAGAACAACTCTTACAAGAGGAAGGATGAGGAAAGCAGCTGGGCAACCTAGGCTCACACTGCTGCTTTCCTGGAGGTTTATGTTATGGCTTGTATCACTGTGGGTGGATAATCATAATTCTGTTGACAGTAATAAGTGGCAATGTCTTCAGGCTGCAGGCTACTGATGGTGAGAGTGTACTCTGTCCCCGATCCACTGCCACTAAATCTGGAGGGGATCCCGGATTGTAAATACTCTGCACTATGGATCAGGAGCTTTGGAGCTCCCCCTGGTTTCTGCTGGTACCAGCTTAACCCATTGTAAATGTCCTGACTGGCCTGGCAAGTGAAGGAGACTCTGTCTCCAGGAGATGCAGACCAAGTGGATGGAGACTGGGTCATCTGGATGTCACATCTGGTACCTGGCATTGGAAAAGTAATAAATATACATAGAATCAAGCATATTATAAGAAAGCTTCATAAAAAGCCAAGCATCACTGACTATAGAAAACTGATGAGATCCTCAGCATAATCTTTCCTTACCTGTAATCCAGAGCAGCAGGAGCCCCAGGAACTGAGCAGGGACCTTCATGTCCATGCTGTGTGCTGACAAGGACAGACTCCTGTCCAGGATGTGAGCAGCTTTCAAGAACTGCTCAGGGCAGTGGGCTGTGCTCTGGGCACATGCAAATCAGTAGGGGTTGGAAGGGGCCAGCGCAGCTGCACCAGCCCAGTATCTGAGCCCAGACATGATGTCCCAGATACAAAAAACCATACGAGGGTAACACTGTTGTGCCTGAAGAAAATGTGTTTCTCTCTGTGGCTCAGGGGACAGAATTCCTCTCTAGTTAAATACAATGAACTTTAATTTATACATGGGTCATGACATGCTTTTCATGATAGCATTTTATCTAAGTCAATTTTTCAAGCAAAAATGGTTCCAAAATGTAGAATTAATGATTTAGATCAGATTTTCTAAGTCTTTGGTTTCCTTGAACCTGTTTGTTAATCATGGACACAATTACTCAAATACTCAAGCTACATGTGTATTTAGGTTGATAGATTGACAGTTAAATAAATAAATGATAGACAAGTATCAATTAAGATTTAATGAAAGACAATGAAAAGTATGAAATTAAAGTATGTGCAGTATTGTGCTATGGTGTACAATGTACAGGCTAGCCATTGGGTTTTGCTATCAACTCCAGGTTGCTGTCCTCTGTTTCTGAATGTGCTTTCCCACCACCATCATCCAGTAGACTTAATATCAGACATTGGCTTTCTGTATACTGAACTGACCTGGCTACAGGCATAGCCTTATTATCATTGTACATTTCTGAGCTGCAAGTCTCCTAAAGTCTTGATGACATTCATGCCTTATTGTTCTTAATCCAAGTTATTCCTCATCAGAACCTGAGCTATTCTCTAAACCAAGGCTGAACTAAACTTCAATTTACTCTGCCTCTTAAAACTGTAAATTCCTACAGCACCTCCCATTTAATGGAATTTGTAATTAAAGAAGTTTTCAGTGATTGAATTTAGAGTTTATGATATAAACAAGCTCTGAAAGGATGACATATAGCATAGTGAAGTGTGAAGTGAGACACCGGAGCTGCAAAGCCAGACAAAGAAAATGCCACAGGTGATAAATCCAGAGTATGATGAGGAAGGCTCCCACCTGGAGTCCAGCATGTGAGGAAGCTGTGCACCCTAGTGCTGGATGTCACAACTGAAAAGACACGGACAGGACATTTGCTTGACAATGAATCCACCATCTTATTGTGAGTCCAAGCAGTTGCTGCAAGTGCACAAACATAACACTGCTCCCCAAAGGCCAGTAGCTCACAGACCAGGCATTGCCAAAGTCAGAGTCCATCTGTACCAGGCCCTACATGACAGGTTCCTATAGCAACCCTGCTCATTGAAGTATTTCACACACTATTGGAGCAAAGCAGAGTATAGAAATAAATTCATGTTTTCGTCTCCCCCTTCCACATAATGAGTAGAGCTTTGATGCTGGATCTGCCTTATGGTAAACATGCAGACCTGTTGCAGACAAGGTCTCCTGATTATCATTCCTCTGACGTGGGTTTGAGAGAAGAACAATTAGAGGAATAGCTCTCAGTTGCATGTGGAATAAGAGTGGGTATGAGGATGGAGAAAGAATCACCCAACTAAGTGTGAAATAAGACAGTCAGTCCTGGGCTGGGAATGTGGTTTAGTGGTAGAGTGCTTGCCTAGTATGCATGAACCCCTCGGTTCAATTCCTCAAAACCACCTACACAGAGAAAGCCAAAATAGATGTTGTGACTCAAGTAGTAGAGCATGAACCTTGAGGACAGAGAGGGCCAGGGATAGCATCCAGGCCCTGAGCTCCAGTACAGGACTGGCAAAAAAAAACAGTCAGTCCCACAGATGTAAGGTGGACTAAGCCAGACCCAAGGAAACATAGGTCCCATGGTTTCCCTCATTCATAATAATTCATGTGTGTATAGGACAATTTATCAGATGAACAGAAAAAGCTGAAAAGCCAAGGACATATGACCATATAACATGATGCCAAGCGAAATGAACCCCAAGATATAGACACAAGAGGTCTTTCTTTATTGTTATTTTTAATGTATTATGTGATGGTTTTCTTTCCTTTGTATGTTCGTCCCCTAGGGTATATCCCCTGTTGTTACTGTACTTAATTTTGATATCCTGCATCTTGTATATACATTTGTCTAATTTGGAGAGGGGAAGAGGACTAAAAAATTGTGAAACAAAGACATAGGATGACACATTGCAACATATTCACAAGAGAGACTATGGGAAATGAGGGGGATCGGGGAAAGGGGAGGGTGAAGGGGTGAGGGCAGTGGGGGAGGAAAGGATAGAAGGAGAAAACTTGGGAAAAGGTGACAATGCTCAAAAGGAAATATACTCACTGCCTCATTCATGTAAATGTAACCCCTCTGTACAGCATTTTTACAATAAAATAAAATTTACAAAAGTAAGGTTGCAGCAAAAGGTGAATATGAGCTTCAAATAACACAATTGGAAATACAATCCTCCAAATCTCACCCCCTTTCACAGCTTAGGATAAAAACTACACAGCACTGTGTCTAGCACTATCATCTTATAAGGGGTTTTGTGAACTTTTTGTCCAGGATGGCTTTCAAACCACATATTCTCAACCCTCAATTAGGTAGAATTAGATGTGGGAGCCATTGGTGCCTTTTAAAATTTTATTTTATTGCAAAGATGCTGTTTAGATGGGGTTATAGTTACATGAGTAATGTAATGAGTACATTTCTTGTAAAGCATTATTAAACTCTCCTTTGTTTTTCTCCTCCTATCCATTGAATGAAGCCTGAAAAAGAAAGTCCAAAAGTTGTACTGAGAAAAATGTCTGGACATATACGACTTGAGTGACCCCTAGTGTTTTGCTGGTGTAAGGACCAAATGATAGTAAATACCATTGAATTCAGGAAGCTCTGATGTCAAATTCCAGTTCTTCTCAATTAGAGTTAGTAGGAATTTCCATTATCTTGAGATATTTCTCTAAATTAATTTACACTCTTGACCAAAGTCTTGTTATCTTACCTGGTGATGGAAGTGTTCTTTTACTTTTTATTTTCATTATACCATGTAAATTTTTGAAATGAGGAGAATTATTGAGACCTGGTCATAAAGCACTATTTTAATTATTTATTTATTTATATTTCATTATTTGTGAACATACTATTAAAATTAAGTGGGCAAGATAATGAGTATATTTCTTATCAAGCATTGCAGCCTCCTCGTTTCTTTGCTCTTCACATCCCTTCCCAAACTTCCCCCGCCCCCCCTGCCCCCTGCCCCCCCACCCCCGCACCAACCAAAGTTGTAAAGTTCATTTTCTACATGACAACTTGTACTTCTCATTGTTGCAACGGGTCCACCTGTATCCTTAAACGACTTGTTTTTACCCCTTTCCACTACAAAATATACCGACATCAAATATAGTGAAAGCAGGGGTTATACTGTGGGGGAGGGACATACAAAGCAACAAAGAAATAATCTTATTAATGCCTTAAAAACAAATGCATGAAAGAAAAATACCTTTAAATACATATCTAAGGGTTCATTTTCCTAACATCACAT